TTCCACATTTAAAAATCTGCTTTATGACTTCCAGTTTTGGCATTCTAATGGCGGACGTGTCTCTCAGGAGCTCCCAAGGACGCGATCTGTGAGCCGGCAGATGAGAGGGGGTGTGATCACCTCTCCCCCGGCATGTTGCCAGTGGTTTGAGGCATTCCGATTGATTCAGAGATGCACACTGGGACAAGTGAGTGGAGGTCGATCGTTTTTACACGTTTTGATGGCGGGATCTACATGATCTACATTGAGAGTGACTTTGGTGGAAGTGAGAACCAGAGAAATGGCAGAAAGTCCCCCCTAAAGTAAGCAGGGGGGCGGGTACCCCCCACAGAAATAAAAATGGACTTAAAGCATGCCTTTTAAAGGGGGGGTGGAACTGAAAGCAAAATGGGACTATAGTAAGGAACTTACAAGAGAATTACAGGCGATTTGCAGACTTCAGAGACTTTTGGCAAACTTTGTTAAATGTAAACAGCTTCAAAGATGTCGCTGAAAAAGATGGAGAAAGATAAGCAAACGAAACCTAAGCTTCCTTCAGGAAGTGCTAGCCCAGTGAGTGCGGTCACGCCACCGGAAAAAACCATAGACTTTTCTAAGATGCTAACAGAAGCATTGTGACCCCTGCTGGAGCAAATGAAGACACTTAATCAAAACTTCGCTGCACAACAACAGCAACTAGACGAGACTATGATGCTGGTGGAAGCACGCATGCATTAAATCAAGTCGGACACTGATACTCCGAGCTCTCCCTTAATCTAAGGTATTTACAGCTCAAAGGCATGTAAACAGCCAAACTCTGGCACATAATTAGGTGAAAAGAAGGGAAGAAAGCAAAGAGCAGCAGGGGCTCCAAACGGCAAGCGATAAGACCTTTATTTACTGCTTCTCCGAAAGACAACGCCCAGCGTAGTAAACGGTGAGCTCAACAAGTCTTAATTAAACCACTAAGGATGGCAAGAAACATTAAAGAATTGTCAGAACAAATAGCAACTCTTCAAAACACAGTCCTGGCATTCCAGGACAAGACAGTACGAGAAGACGTCACTAAGATAGGGAAGGAAATAGCTGGCATTAAGCAAACAGCTAACTCTGCTAAAGAACTGGCTCTGGTAAACGAACAGAAGATTGCTTCTTTAACAAGCCAAATCAATAACCTCTCAGACCAAAATAGGAGGGCTAACCTAATTTTGTCAGGAATTTCTGAAGAGATATCTGCCAAGAATCTGGAAGAAACACTAGGGGAGTGGCTGGAAACTAATGGTGTCAAGATTCAACCAGAAGAAATTGAAAGACCACATCGCCTGCAAGGAAGGGGTAAGAGAGGGGATCCCCGAGATGTTATTAAGTTTGCCAGAGAAAAAAACCCAACAATAAATATATAAAGAACTAAAAAAGAGGAAAGATTTGAGTTTCAGGGGAAGGAAAGTTTGGGTGAGGAAGGATTTTTGCCAGGATACTCTTAAAAAAAAAAAGAGCTTAATGCGCCCTTATGCCCAAAAACTTCATACAAATAATGTAAAATTTACCTGGGGCTATCCAGCCTCAATAATCATATCCCGAGAAGGGAAGAGACTTATGGCATGGAACACCTTGGAGGCTAAAGATCTCCTGAAACAACTCGGAATCAATTTGATCCAGGGCAAGCGCGGTCACACTCACCGCGACACACATTACTCCCAGGCATCCACACTAGGCGCACAGCAGCGTGTGACAGTGGGTATTTAATTATTATTTTACATTTTGCGCATGCGCATAGGCAGCCATCCACAGATTTGAGATCTTTGCACAGGCGCAGAACACCATATCCCGAAAAGCATGCCCTGAAGGAACACTGCCCTTTAAACTTTTACAGCAAAACTGGCCTCCGTGAGGTCCCGGACTCGTCCGAAACCTAAAACTAATCACTTTTTAAAAAAATTAATGCCGGGGCGAAGCTTCGCCCAAGCGCATATCACTGAGGCTAAAAAAAAAATGGTGGGCGAAAAGCGGAAGCCTCGGGCTTCCCAGCGGAAATGGCTACACACTGGCGGAAAGTGATCAAACGGGGAAAATGCAGCTAGAACCGGAGCACTCAGGAAAACACCACTTGGGTACCTAGTGGCAAACTACACCGGTTTAAGGGGTGTTTATGATGGTTGGCAATGGTTAGGGACGGAAGGCAGCTGTTGTGTGTGTGACTGCACGTAAGTACTCAATTTCTAACCGGCTTCTATACCGGCTTAAATGCCCCATCTGAATGCACCCTCTGTGCCTCTTTCTCTTGACAACTGGATTTCAGACAATCACCAAAAACTCATAATAAGGACCTTACTAGTTTTATTAAAGTTCCCCAGCCAATCATTTTCAAAGGTCAAGACAACCCAACATGCAATAGCATTTTGCAGTCAATATTACAAAAAAGAGACAAAAAATGTTAAAGGCATTAAACTATAAATAAAACCAAAATTATAACCCATCCACCTGAAGTATTTTCAACTCTATAGTTTTTCTCTGCACTACAATTTCATTATCTCCAATGGTATATCACCCTAAACTGGAACAGTCTAGATTCTCTGAGATTGTGGCTATATGTGTTCTTCTATGAAATACCAAAGACATAAAATGTTGTCACACTTCACTCTAAAACATGCTGGTCAGGATGCAAAATGCTCCGAAGTGTAACAGAAATAACTAGTTGGTCTGCTCCTAGAAGAATTTACAAGAAAATAAACAAAGGCTGCTGCCACACGGGACGGCTGAAACGTGGCTAAGCAGAGCCGCACCAAACTTGAGACGCCGCAGCGGGATCCCACGGATCCCCTCAGCCGCGGCGCATCGCTCCCCAGCACGATCAGATGGCGGGGAGGAAAGTCCGATGGGAGGGGGAGGCTGCCGAACTGCGCATGCTCGAGCATGCGCAGTACGGCCGGGGGCCAGGATGCGGCGGCGCAAAGCTGCGCCGCCCGATCCCACGGCCCGGCTTGCGGCGCTGGGAGGGATACAACCACCTAGGTAGGTGGGTCTTTTTTACAGCGCGGTATCGCCGTTTGGGACGGAACAGGGACGAGCAGGCAACGATTCCCAGATGTTGCCATGGGATTGTGCCCGTTTGCTCCGCCCCCGTTCCGTCCTGCTCCCGGCCCAAAAGGCCTCGTATGGACAGGACCAAAGACCAGCTAGTTTTGACTCAAAAGAGTATAACATGTATGTGTGATTCATTATCAAAGTATTAAAGCAACTAAAATTTGTAGTATAATCAAGTTTTTAAAATCTATAATGAAAAATACAAAACCACAAAAAATGAGCTTTTATTATTTCCAGAAGCAGATTTAGTATGAAAGTCCTGTTCTTTGAGGTGAGATGCCAAACACATATTTATCTGCTTTTATACCAAATATAGATATCTCATAAGGTAGAATACTGCACAAAAAAGAAGAAGATCAAAACAGCATGGTGACTCCAGGTTTGCAACTCAACATGTACTCAAAGTTATTCAGGCACTAACAAGGGGCTTTAGTTTTATTTTCACACATTATGGGGATGAGATCTGCACATCTAACTTCAATTATGGACAAAGATCAGAGGCGAGCATATTGCTTAGTGATATTCAGAGAAGGATAGGAATGTCTGAATAATACTTTGGAACTGTGTAAAACAATTCACCTTTCAAACATAATCACTACCTTCAATCCCTTCTTTCCTTTTTATGCTTCCTAACTTGGTTCAAGTTTACCACCAATTTGTTTCTGCCCCTAGTAGCACCATGCTTTTGTAAAAGTACAAAACAGTCCTAATATTGCCTCGAAAAGTCTTGGGAGCCTCATTGCTATATAACGGAGTTCAGGCAGTTGCTTCTCCTTTCCCTGTTTTCTAGCTCCAAGCACAGCAAGAAATCTGGCTCCTAACTCCTGCACCTGGCAGGGGGTGTAAAGGGAGGGTAAAAATAATTGTGGTATCTATCCTTACTATCCCATAGTTACCAAAGTGATGAAGAGGTTTTTGGCAACCTACATGACATGGAACTACGTCAATGCCCAAAACCTCCAATCACCTCATATTGAAGAGCTAGCCCTGAGCAGGTTTTAATCATCACCCTTTCTTTTCTTGTGTGACTCAACTGTACAATTAAAACAAATTGGCTGATATGATGGGAATCCCATAGGAAAAGATAGCATTATGAGAATTCCTTATAAAACTCTCTCTTATAGCAAGCTCTGGGAAGGGTCATACCACAAAGCCAAAAGAGTTCAGAAGGACTACAGGGTTAGGACAGTTCCAGCTGAAGGAGGGAGGGATGGGGAGGCTCCCCCCCCCCCGCAGATTTGACAATTGGTCCTCCAGACTGATATGCTTGTTTCACCACACCAACTGGCTCTTGTTCTATTTTTACTAGGACACACAGATGTAAAGAGAAACAGCTGGCACTCTCACATGTGACACTATTTTCTCCTTCACTTTCCTGTTTCTGCTATTCCTTTTTATGGGGAGGGGGAATTAAAAACCAAACCCGACTGAACAAATATTGTGTGCTTGTTACATTTCTAATTGCAAGCTACATTCTGGAATAAAATGATATTTGAAAAGGTCAAATATTAAGGAGATACACACCAACTATTTATAGAATTGCATTTTGTTTTTAAATGATCCACCTGCTGTTTGCGGTAAGAAGGCTACGCATATTGGACAAAAGCAGGTAGGAAAGCTGAAAGATTTGTTTAGTGAAACTGGGTTTTTTTATATGCTGCAAATCACAACCGCTGAGAAGTATACTGCTACGTAATAATAGAAATTCGGAATTTTAGTAATATTTGTAGCATGGACTGTTTCTACTCAAATAATTCCTGTAGGCTCTGAAATCATTTTTTGGTTATTGCCTTCCTGCAGACACTCTATAACATGCAGGGGGGAAAGCAGCTGATAAGCAGAATTAGCTTTGACATTCTGTTCAATTTAGTTTTGCGCTAAGGACTAATTGCCTAGTCAGGGAAGGGGAAGTGTAACATTTTGGTTAATATGCTTACCCGAGGGCCCTGATCACCTTGATCTCCCTGCAAAAGTGGAAAGATGAGATGATAGTTTTAACACAGCATCTGTGTGCTAACCCAGCTCTCTTAAATAATCTCATATCACACCGCTTCAATAGCCGTCAGTTAATATCAGGAGGGCTTCCATTTTATCTTGTTAGTGGCAACAGCATTCTGACTCACCTTCTCCCCTTTTGGACCGGGTGGGCCCTGAAAGAGAAAGAAAATATCTCATTAGCAAATTATTGGCAGACTAAGCAACCTCAGATGGCTTCATTCTCACAAACAACTGATGATATGACCAACCTGTGTTTGGACGGTGTCAGTTCAGACTACTGAAAACGGGGAGTGATGTCACTGTATGCTCTTCTAAACACATGTGGGCAACTAACACGTTAGCAAGGTTAACCCAAACACAGGTTTTGCCATCTCAGCTGCTGCTTGTGGGGCTGCATCAACATGTCAGAAATGACACAGAAAGGTAATAAACAGGGTGTATAAAATAAAAGGGCAGGAATATAACCAAGAATATCTGAAGGAGATAGTATGAAGGCAGGAACTTCCACAAATTAACATTCCTAAAGAGAAACCCATTTTCTCAAGATTGTAAAAATGACAGAAGATGGGGGAAAACAAGACAACTAACACCAGAACCATTTTAAACCCAACAATCTAGATAGATAAACAAGAAATTAGTATTCTTTGGCTATTTCAAAACCCATTCACTACACCTCACTAATGTAGAATAATTTAAGTTAATGCACCAAAAGATCACAAGCACTCCCTGATTGCCCTTAAAGTGTTCTACAAAAAATTGAACAATGGTGTGACCAGAAATAGAAGTGTACCATTGCTCAGTAATTTGACTGACTTAATTATACCTATTCATCTTCAGTAAAATCTCTGTTCAGTAGCATGTTTATGATCAGGTCATAAAATATTTCAGCAAATATTGCTGATTTTAGGAATCTGTCATGAAAGCTGGCACTTCTATTTATTCCTACAACACAGAGAAAGAAAATGTATTTCATTCTGCAGATTTTCCTTTGCGTATCCAGAATTTCTTTGAGGTAGCATACTAACAATGTTGTGAAAAAAGTTACATTCCTCTGTCTGGTAATTTTGGGAGCTATTACCTCCCCAAAGGCATCATTTGAAACTGATAAACAAAACGGCAGAACTGTAGTTTGGTAATATTGGGTTTCAGTCAATTTACTGCAAATTTTCAGGATTTACGTCATTGTATATTTCCAGTTTTAGATTTTAAAAAAAGCCTAGGGTTTGTTTGAAAATATAATTTACATTTCAAAATAAATGCTGTTGGCATCCTATTCATATGGCAATGCAACATGGGCATAAAGGTGGAAAAAACAAGCCCACAGAGATGGCAATCTGATCCTATGAAACTCAGCACCACACGGCCAGCCAGGGACTGGATTGTAATACTTTATGTTTTTTAAAAATAAATAATTAGAATATTTGATAGCAACTGCAGGGTTGTTTACAGAATAATAAATAAAACACATGTATGATATAAAACAAAGTCCACATTTTCTCATTAGATGGCTGCAACAATATATCTCATACTGAACTGAATTTAGTCTGAACTTGTACTCTATGAGAGTCAAATCCTCCTACTAGACAGGGGGCTGCCATCGAAGAATCCAAACTGGAACAGAAATTGTAAACTAAAAATTGGTCCAGAATGCTGTGGTGAGAATTCTGGCTGGGATGGCTCATATCATTCTTCTTCCATTTACAATGGCTCCCAATTTGCCTCTGGGTCCAATTCAAGGCGCTGGTATTAATCTTTAAAGTCCTATAAAGCTTGAACCAGCATACATTAAGAACTACCTACTCTCATATGACTCTATCTGACCATTACAGTCATCTTCAGGACCCTGCTTTGCATGACGTCATCATCAGATGGGTGGGCCTTCTTGGTCATGGCCACTACTGTGGAATTTGGTCCCCAAGGTGATTAATCTGTCCCTCTATGATGGCCCTGTACACTTCCCTCCCTCAGAGACAAGATTTTCCCGCTGTTTTTCTTTCCCTGTCTGACTGAGCCACCCTAGTAATGTGTTTTCTTCTTTCCTGAAGAACTCTGGCTGTCCCACCCTGTCAAAATACAATATTTTGGCTGTTTGCTCAGCCCAGGAACCTGAGGGAAGGATCAGGAGCCCGCTTTACTTAAACAACTTAAAAGGCACTTGAGGTATTTTGAAATTCAAAAATAACAAAAATCAGGGCTTTCTTTGTAGAAAAAGTCCAGCAGGAACGCATTAGCATAATAGGCCACACCTAAGAGCAGAAACTAATTAGCATATTAGGCCACACCCCTGATAGCACAGCTCATTAGCATATTAGGACACACCCCCATTTTACCAGAAGTGTGGTCATCCAGCCACATACACCTTTTGCTTCTTATTTTGTTTACCTTGTTTGTTGTCAAAACCCAGAGATTTTTTTGTAGCAGGAACTTCTTTGCATGTTAGGCCACACACCCCTAATGTAGCCAATCCTGATGAGTTTCTGCTCTTGGGTGTGGCCTATTATGCTAATGAGTTCCTGGTGGGCGTGGCCGACTCAGGAGCCAGCTGGAACTCCGTTCCTGTGCGTTCCTACCCCAAAATAGCCCTGACAAAGATATATCATTTAACATAGAGGGGAAAGGTCAGGTGAAATCACAGACTTTAGTTCTTATTTTTCAGGCTAATGAGAGTTTCTTAAGCTTTTCACAGTGGCTTAAATCTTTATATTGGCCGCAGTCACACAGGCAGGAAACTGCGGGTGGGGAGCGTGGCTATTTGCCCCGGGGCAACAAACCCCGCGGTAGCGGGATCAGACGTCCCGGAGAGGTTCCAGCGAGGTCCCGTGGATAAGATGCTGATCACACGAGCATCCACACCTCCAGCGACAGCCAATGGGAAGGGGACGGAAGGAGCCCCCCTCTGGGAGGGCCGTGCACTGCCCACTCTGGGCAGGGTCTGTGGGCCGCTCACAAGGAGGGGAGGGGAGGGGGGAGTAACCCGCCGGGTCCCCCTCCCCACCAGCATCCCGCCTGCCCTCCCTTCCTCCCCCCGCGACACGCGGCCCTCTCTGCCTGGCCGCCGCTGCGCACCCCCATCGCAGCCCACCCTCGACCCTAACGATGCCGGGTGCCTTTGTGCGCATGTGCTGTTGAGGGCTTCGGGAGGCATGGGGGGCAACCACCCGGCACGCGCCGGATGCCACGGAAGCCCAGCGGGGACACGATCAGGCGCCCGCCCTTGCTGCGCAGTTCCCGGAAACTAGTACCTCGGAGGTACTAGTTTTTTACTGCGCGGCTTCGGACGGTAGCCATGGAACAGCCACGGGAGCTCTACGCTCCCCAGATGTTGCGGTGAGATCGCGCCCGGAAACTCCGCCTTTCCATCCCTCTTGTGTGCCTGATGCTCCGTGTGACCGCGGCCATTGAGAGGCTTTTATTCAAGTGTTTTCTCCAAACACTTTCTTTGAGTATTCTCTGACTCTTTTGGTTTCCAGAAAGCTGGTGCACTCTTTCTAGTACCCAAACCCCTTCTCTTGAAACACCAGTACTTGTCTTCAGTTTCTAACTGATTCTTAAGGTCTCTAAAGGCAGTTTCTAACCACACCAAACCAGGGATCTCTGCACTCTTCAGAGCTAACTCCCTGTTTGACTGGGTAGGGAATTTTCACCTCTCTAGAAGATCTATCCCCTGTTCTTGGCTTGAATGGGAGTCTTCGCCTACTTCCCTAACTTCCTTATCAACTTTCCCCCAGTTCTCCTGTCTGTGTTAAACTTCTCTCAGTCACGGCTGAACTCTGAAACTGTCAGTACTTGATGCTTCTCAGCTAGGGCTGAAATCAGTCAAGGCAGAAATCTGACTAAATCTCTCCTCAGCATGCAGCTCTCTCCAGACCTTCTTTGCTCAGCTGATGGTAACCAATCATATTGCTTGAAGCAGCCTGTCACTCTTTCTGTGAAGATATAACCCTTCACAATCGTTTAGCTGTTTTTACAGCATGTCTAAGTTTTGTAAAAGTGCAGTCCATCACACCCTGTATATCACTGTCTTCCACCAGCAGGTGAACACTTTTTTATTTCATTTGGCATTCCCTTACTGACTCTCCTTCCTGTTTCTGTTTCGTTACAGATATATTTTTTTCTTCTGCTGCCCAGCTGAGTAGTGGTGGGAAGGATCTACTGGAGGCAGGAGATCCCCTGCACCCAGCAGGAAAATGGCAACCCTAATTTACACACACACACACGCACACACACACACACACACACACACACACACCAATTTCTTTTAAAGTGTTTGTCATCTTCAGGGCCCTAATTGAGTAGACAGGCAGGATGGTTTTTATATAATTGTAAAGTATGATTTGTTTTTATTAGCTTAATATTTGGATACTTGATAAATCAGAGAAGTTTCTAATTTTGATTTCAGATAAGCTATTAACATTGTGCAAATAGAAAGTAGTTTTCTTTAAAGAGGCAGCAAAAACATTTAACTTTTATTTTTGTATTTTTACTTCAGTTGACATTTACACATATACAGGTATTTGCCACTTATATCGTTATCAGAAGAAGGTCATTGCAACACTATTATAGTTTTATTTTCTCACATTTTATTTTTAAACATGATTTTATTCAACATATGAGAACCTCTTAAATGAAAATCCAGAGACTCAGTCTTAGATACTGGCTGCAACCTAGAGATTATTCTCATGTGCAGCAGTGGTTTGTTCATGCACTCCTATATGCAGTGGTCTATTGTACAGCAATTTAACTTTTGAGAGGAGAGAGTGGAAGGGGTGCCTGTATTCATTCTCGCATCCTCCAGATAGCCATCAAAGCTAACTTGTACTAACCATGTGCTGTGAGATCACTTTGCCTAGTTCACACATTTCAATGGGGCTCCCATTATTATAAAACTTTATAGAATGCACATGATACAACCCGGAGGGCAGCCCACATACCAGTTATGCTTGTTGGTTTGGGATGACTGAGTGCAGTTCAGTGCTACTGAAATAACTGCAAGTATGTGAATTAGTTTGATTCTTAGCACTTGTATCAATAATCATTGCAATGCAAATATTGGCATTATTCTGACATTGCAGTAGGAATTGATATGGGATACAATTATGCGGGTAAAACTAAAATTAAAGGAATGATGTGACATTCAGACATAATTCAAAAC